AAAAGAACTAACAGATCTGTCCTGGAGGAAGTGCAGCCAGAATGCTCCTTGGAAGCAAGAATGGCCAGACTTCGTCTCACCTATGTTGGTCACGTTGTCAGAAGGGACCATTCCCTGGAGAAGGATGTCATGCTTGGTAGGGTGGAGGGTCAACGAAAGAGGGGGCAGCCTTCAACGAGATGGATTGACACGGTGGCTGCGATGATGGGCTCAAGTATAGCAGGAATTGTGGGGCTGGCACGGCATCGGGCAGTGTTTCGTTCTGCTGTGCATGGGGTCGCTATGAGTCAGAAATGACTCGACGGCACTTAACAACAACAACAACAACAGAGGGGCTCAGAAGAAAGTCCTGATGATCCATGTCCAAAAGATCGCAGCCATTGAAAACCTTATGAAGCACAGTTCTGACACACATGGGGTCACCATGAGTCTGAATCAACAGCAAAGTGGTGACACCTTGTTAGCTGGTCTCCTTAGCCAGTTTATAGAAAAGTGAATGAGGTCATTTCCTGTAGTGGGACCATCCTCAGAGGTGAGCGCTTTCCTTCCCCCAGAATCCTGAATTTGTAGGCCCTATACTTCAGGGAGATGGTTGTCATGTGTGTCCTGAAGAAGCCACATTCTTTTATTGGCACCAGGAAGGTGTGCTGAGCCTCCTTGACAACTCTCATTCATGACAGTACAGGCTGAGACCAGCCAGAGGATGCATGGAACCCCGCTGGGGCCAAGCACAGAACACTGACAGCCAAGGGCCTCCTCTAGAGGTCAGGGCTGTCTCAAAAAGCAATGGGTTAGCAGCTCTAAGATAAACTAAGAGCCCTTTTCTCAGACTCTTCAGGAGACCAGAGGAAAGAATATGGTGCCCATCACTGGGTGGAGAATTTCAAAGAAAATCACCTGTGGTGTCTCAACACAGGGGCTTGGTTTCTACACACCTAGGCAGTGGTGTGCCTCCACACCAAGTACTAACCATTTCCAGAGATGCCCGAATGCCTTATGATATCCTGGAGAGAGCTAGGATTTAGAATGAGGTGGCCCAGGCTT